ATCCTTGACAAGGCGACGTGGGCTTTCACCGGGTTCGCACTGGGACGCAATTTTGATCTGGTGATTAGCATGAGCAAGGCAAGGGAGTATGGCTGGACGGGCTACAGAGATACTTGGGCAAGTCTGAGAGATGTGTTTGAGCAGATGAGGGGAGCTGGCTATTTGCCAAAGGCTTAGTTGGAGATGCACTGCATAGTGTCTCTGATGATAGTCGCAATAAAGATGTTTGTGGTATACTTTTATTTTCCCCTTGCCTTGCTTTAATGGGTATATAAGCTCTACCGATTGTAACACCTTGCGTGGTTGAAATTCTAGAATACAGCACCTCCAATGATGAACACTCTCTCCTCTTCTCGTCGCACCCACTGAATGACCTTGTTCGCACTCTGTGCAAGCGCTGCTCTCGACGTATTTGCCGGCGCAACAGCATAAAGCTCAAACAGCGGTGTACTCCACGCTAACGCTATACACGTCGTGTTGGTTTCATGATGCACCTTAAGCGTCGACGGCTTGTTGTGCAGATTACTGTGAAGTTTATTGTACAGGTCGATCAATCTAGAGGAGACGATAGTGTCAGCAAGGCTTCTTGGTATGCATGTGGGGCAGTTGATTGCGAGATCACGTGCGAGGTGTGGGGATACGGACCGTCTCTTCTCCAGATCGCCCTCAAAGTAAGGTGTATAGCTCGGCATAGTAAACTGCACGTTACCCCTCGACTTGTACAGAAAGTGCCTCAGCGGACTGCCGGGCACAATGTCTGTACAAGTGGGACGGCCTTGCTGCACAGCTGTGCGTATAGCCTCAATGGACCCATTGCGTTGCAAGCTCTGCGGAAACACCCGTTAGCCCACGAAACATCTACCGAATGCATTGCTCTCTTGTTAAATGATCCTAGCCATATTGGAACCAAACGAACGGGACCATCGAAGGACCGAAAGGACGCGGTGACCGGGGCAAAGGGAAGGGAATGCGGAATCCGACCGGGAGGATGGGCTAGGACATCGGAGATGCTGACGTCCGAAGCCGAATCGCAAAGTTGCCCCGTGGGCCTCGTACGGGTATACAATTCGCGCTTACCGGCAATAAACCCATGAGAACCCATGGGCGAACACCGAGAATGAGTCAATTTCGCCTCCGAGCCCGTTCAAGCCCACATCGTTCGACGCATCAATCTTAAGGCACGGGACAACGTCCTGGGGCGGGAAACAGAGGCCATTTGACTAGCACTCCACGCGTCCTCACGTCTCATCCCGGTCCCCCGTGTATTAAGGAGACTTTGCAGTGGAATGTAAAGAAACTGTGGGCTTACCTCGACTAAATCATCCCTCATACGTCTAAGCTCGAAGAAGCTTTCCTTCTCCGCACTGATCAGGAGGACCGCGACCTCGTCGTCCGCTCCATCGCTCGTGCGAGGCCGCTCTTGCATTTGCTCCGTTGGATGTTCGAGATTGAGGAAGCTTACGTACATGTACAAGTAGCCGGTGTTGTTGAACCCTGGCAAGCATAGTGGGATCCAGTTTTCTCCACCCCCAGCCTTGACGCTACCGGCTTCAAAGAGCATGTTGAAGATCAGGTGCAGGTCACCAGGGTGCAGACTATGCTTCTTGGGCCGGACGACGGACACGAGCTTCCCGGATGCGACGAGAAGACCGTAGAGCAGGTTCTCGGAGCGGGTCTTCAAGAGTGTGTTGTTGATGGTGGTGCGATGGGACTTGCGGAGCTTGAGGCACTCGAGAGCGGAGAGCAGTGTCGATGGTGAGCCTCTTGTGAAGCCATCTGCAAGCGCTGATAGTAGTGTCTCTGTTCCCTGCAGCGGTCTGCGAAGATCGTAGTTCGCACGCGCAGCAAACATGCGCTCCATACTAGGAAGCGTGAGAGTGGATAGGATCTGCATGTAGAGTGCCTCGAGCTGTGACCGGAGCTGGGAGTCGCTCTCTGGTAAACGCGTGATGGCTACCAGATTCAGCGGGCCCTTGGACATGACGACAAAGCGTACGTCTCCTGCTGTGAATCCTCTCAATATATCGTTGGTGGACTGGTAAAAGGATATGATGGTCTGTACGACACCAATGTAGTTCGTGATGAGCTGGTCGTCGCCATGTCGGCTGTAGATGGGCTTGCCGGCACTCGAGAGGATGAGGAAATGCTTCAGTTTTGCGCGCCACTGGTGCATAACGGCTTCTATTGACTACATCAGCGAGGGCTACCTCTAGGTACATGCCGTGTGTCTGACCTTCATTCGACCCGTCCAAGGCCATCTCATCGACCTCATCGAACTCGCGACGAAAAGCCTCCTCAAAGTATGGGTCCGGCGGGAACATGCTTTGCGCTTCGGCATCGACGAACTTGTGGCCCAGCGTCCTGAGCAGTGACTTCTCTTGCTCGGACTTCTCTGCCTGGCCCATGACTTCGCCCAGGAGGCTCTCCTGATAGCCTGCCGCCTCTATTGTCGGCGCATAGCTGCGTATACTCGCGCCGTCGTCGGCATCGCTGAGGTTGTGAGCGCCTAGGCTTGCGCCCAAGACGTCGCGTGTCTTGGGTCCCGAGGACGTGGGCGACTCATCTTTCGCGTCGGTCGCGAACGCCTGTGTCCGCGCTACAGACAGCTGTGTGGTGGCTTTGGAGAGGAGTTGGGGTCTCCCAGCGGCCGTAGAGTGCGACGTCGAGGGTCGTGAGAGTAAACCGAGGGCGGGTCGGGGTGGCAGCGGCGGAGGGGTTTCTTCTTTGGTCGCCACCGAGCTTGCAGACGTGCTGCGCGAGAAGTTCCGTATTATGCTGAGGGTTGGATTGGCAAAGTCCTGCTGCTCAATCGGGTCCCCAGTAATCGACTTGGCCGACGCATTGCTGCTCTCCTGCGTGGGTGTTGTGGGCGAGCTGGGTCCCTCAGAGATCGGCGTCTGGGGCTCAGCATTCCCAGTCTCGGCCATCAAGACAGCGGGCGAGGGTCATCTAGACAGCGGGTTGGTGTTTACTATGGCATGGCGCGTCAACAGAGGCGTGCATGTCGCGAAGCTCCGTGATCGTGACGCTTATCCATGTAATCCAACACGCTTGGGCCAATGACGTGGCTGTTCTATCATCGACACTGCACCACTGCATGATCGACTCGCGCTGACCCCGTCTCGCTTCTGCAAAGACATGGGCATGACATGCGCGCAGGAATCCTATTCCTAGCATACCGACACCTCACACTGGTGCGCGTTGCTCACCGGACCCCACAAATAGCTACCATCTGCCCGTCTCACCTACCTACCCTCCGCTACACTCACGGTTACTTCACCGACACCATCAAGACTTCACAACTTCCATCCTGTTTCCCGCCACGCGCAATCGTGCGCTGACGCATTCTCGCCTCGTCTCGTACTCAGCTGTGCCAGCATAGCTTACTATTCTTAGCTTAACTAGGCGTACAGCATTTCCTTATCCGGTATCTCATAGGGCTCGTACAAAGTGTGGTTGGTATCTCAGGCGTAGTGAGAGTAGCGGTATGCATGATGACCTATTATCAGCCTCGTGTTTGGGCGACTTGACGAAAAAGTAAACCAAGTGAGCCAGAACAGAGAGCATCACGCGCCTTCCGCGGTACGGTCTGGGCAGCACGGTGTATTACAGCAAAGGAGTTCTCAATTTGGTCAAAGCCATCGGACCTCGCTCTCGCAAGCAGATTCCCCCAATACTCCACACTGGCGCCGGTGCTATGTATCGAAGTCCGAATCAACCTATGCCACACCTCTCAACGACAGACAACGTAACGACCATCAACTATACTCTGGAGTGGCCTCATTTCGAGAACCCCAGCAACACCACATTTGCCGGACAAACACAAATCGACATTTGTCGATGTCCAAGATCCGATCTTCCCTCGCAAGACAGCAGAGAGCCGGGCCACATCTACACTCGAAGCAAATGCGTCGGCCCCGAAGTCCGCTTCAAAACGAGAAAAGAAGAGCTATGGGTGCTCCAATCCGCCTCTGGACCAGTCAACATGTTGCGACCGGCAACAAAAGAAGAAAAGGAGCGCCGCAACCAAGTCCATGAAGATGCCGAGCCGACAGTATACGAACGCCGAAACTTCCTTCTCCTGACAGGCCCGTGCCCGCGCGGACGGTACCAAGCGTTTGCGACTCAAAAGTGGTTAGAAAGCATCGGTCCATCTGCTCGCCAACACGTTACAAGCCTATCTCTTCTCGTGCAACCCTACGAAGAAGACTGTTCAGCACAGGCTACGCAAAGAGCATTTGCCGAGCTAGCCAACTACATTCTGGAGCATTTGACTGGATTCAAGACACTGTGTCTCAACATATGGAATGATGAGATGAGCCTCTGGGGTGCGGCGAGCGAGTTCAGCATTCTTCTACACAGAGATGATGTAAAGATCATAGTCGGGTGTATTTTGTGGAGTGGTGAGACAAGAGAGTACAGCAATGCTAGAGCATTCTTTGAGGCCATGACTACACCGCCACACACAAAAACCACGCGGCCATTCAGCAATCAAATAATGGGCGATGATAATGGGGAGGATAGCCCGGACGAGCAAGACCAGGCTCAGGAAGATTTGTCCAATGGACTCGCCACGACAGGGGATGAGATAAGGAATGACGGAGAGCCCAAAAAGACGTCAGCGTCTTCACCAGTTCTCAAATCCGACACCGAAGACGAGATTGGATCTGAGGATGATTGGACCGACGCAGCTATGAGTCCGATGGAAACTGAGAAAGATTGGCAGATATTATAAACACTCTTTGGGTATCACATTAGTTGCTATGACGCAGCAGGTAGAAACATGCCGGGTGAAATTCTATCGTGACCTTTGGTGCTTGGGCAGCACTGACGCAGGGAAGGCATGTATCATGCACATTGAGAATGCACGATGAAGAACCCACAATACAGACGAGGTAGGCATCATCTAAATACAGTACCAAACGTCTATTTCGAACTGCTACCAGAGCTTTCCATTTGACTTTGCACTTTCGTCTCACAAGACATTCGGCATCCCTGCCTCAAGACGTAAGCCTGAACATCGGATGATCGTCACCTAGATTGTCAGCATCCACCTCTTGCAGTCTTCCATCCCTCTCGCCCCTCTCCCTCTTCGCGTTCTCCCATTTGACTAAGAACAAAAGTCCGGTGCAAGCCGCAGCACAGATCCACAACAAACCCAGACTGGTCCCATATCCCGTCCGAAACCCTGGCAGTTCGCTCTCCAGAAAGATGTTACTCGCAACGACACCTCCCAGGTTACCGAATCCAACTTGCATAGCGGAGCTGACCGAACGCTTGTAGTGTCCAGACACCAGATTCGACATCCAGGCGAGCACGATGGGCTGAGTAATGAAACCGCCAGGTGTGACGAGAAAGAGGGCAAAGTACTTTACGCCAGCTGGGAGGTTCTCTTGGGCGAGAAGCATGATGTAACCAATTGATGCGACGACGAGTCCGAACATGCAAAACCAATAGCGATGGCGCATGCGATCGCTTAGCCAGGCTGCTGCCACGGCTGCAATGGTTGCCACGATGAATATAGGTATCGAACGTACTTGGGCGGCGGAAGACGTGTAACCGAGTCCTTTGACGATAGTTGGAGTGAAGATGGAACCAGCAGTGCCGGTATTGACGACTCCTAATAGGTGGAAGCGCATGGTCAGCACGTATCCTACTGCAGATGCTGGGAAGTGAGATAGCACTGAGAATACTCACCAAAGTATGCAAGAGTCCCCAGATAGATCTTGGGGTCTGAAAAGATTCGCTTCGCAGCTTTCTTGTCCAATCTGTCCATGACAGCATCACCCGTGTCGGCGTTGAGGCGTGCTAGGAGAAGGGTCTTCTCTTCCATGTTCAAGAATCCTGCTTTCTCGGGCCACCCAGGTATCCAGAAATACATGATGACACCGAATGCAACGGTGACGGCACCCTCGATGATGAAGATCCAGCGCCTAAATAGTCGACCAAGTCAGTGTTTGTTTCATATACAATCATGGTGAGGTGTACTTACCATCCTCCGTAGCCTGCGATGCCGTCCATCTTGGCAATAGCGAATGCAAGGAGCTACACGAGGTTAGTACGAACTACCGATTGACATATGTATACTTACGCCACCGAATGCTCCAGCGATGATGCTCGCGCTGAAGAAGAGGGTGATGCGCCACTGAAGCTCGTAACGCTTGTAATACATCGATATCAGGTACAGGCATCCAGGAAACAAACCTGAATGTTGGTTTGTGAAGTCAGTAAATGTTGCACCTGCGATTCGTACATGGACAGTACTAACCAGCTTCGAAAAGACCTAGCAGAAGGCGCATCGCTAATAGACCGCCGAAGTTGGTGATAAGGCCTATTCCGACCGTCGAAAGGCATGAGACTCGTTAGCATGGCACTCACATGCCAATTTCCGCGACTAACCCCAGCATATCATGATCAGGCTAAGCCATGTCGAAGGCTTCATCTTTTTCAGGATGAGATTTGACGGTACCTCAAAGAGGACATAGGGGACAAAAAATATCGATAAAGCGAGGTTGTAACGATAGGCCAACGGGCCTGTCATGTTCAAGTCCTCGGTCAAACCTTGGATCTTCGCATTGCCTATTTCCTATTAGCTCATAAATATGCTACTAGAGTAGCAGCAACATACCAATGTTGACACGGTCCAAAAAGGCTAGGAGAAATAGAACAAAGAGAGGCGGAAGAACGCGAAGGTCGCATTTCCGAAGGAGCTTCTTCTCAGCGTACGGGTCGATATGAGTTCCGTATGTATCGTTAAGCACCACGGTCTTATCGTCTGGCACACTCGATGGTTTCATTGTCGGATTCTCCATGGCCGATGTAAGAGTGACGACGACGCTTAATCGACGTCTGGGCTACAGGATATATAGAGCACGGCGATTTCTGGGATGTAGTCGCCCCGAAGCTGCAGCATATTACTACCTCAGTAAGGGTTGATGAGGCGTGATTAATAGTAGCCAATTAAACGATATCGTCATTCATCGGCGTGCACACCCGGTGGACGGGCACGGTTCCGCGTTCTGGGGAAGCCTGCGAGATAGTGGAATAGTGCCTCATGTCTTCCGCTGATCGACAAAGAATATGGGACGGCTTGGGACAGTAGTGACTAGCCTTGGCTTGAGACGTTGGTAGCCAGGTGAGGCTGGGTGAAAAGCAAGGCAGCGACAAAGTGCAGACATCAGGTACGAGGGTGCGATACGGCAACACCGCCTTCTACACTCAATAACCATGCACTGCTCTTTCCTGAAATTGCGAGACGTACTAAATTGCGTGTTGAAACTAAATATGCGTGTACCGGATCTGCCACGAACACAATAGTTTCGCAAACGACGCCTATCTCGAGGGAGTACATCGCTTTAGATGACAGGCCATCCTTCCCAAATGAAAAGTGCCGACGTCGAAGGGTACTTGTAATGACCGATTTTAAAGAAGCAGTCAGGAATGAGGGCGGTGCCAAGTGACAGTGACGCCATCCGGTGAGGATTAAGTTGCCATTGAAACTTAAAAACACAAGCACGACCGGAACTCCAGGAAGTGTGTGTGCGAGCTCGGGAGATATTGACATCATCCCACCGAATTTAGGAAAGAGATGAAACACGTGTTAGAAGTAAGCACGTTCGAAGTCTACATCGCCTTAAGATGTTGTAGACTTTTAGTCTTATATTAGCGTAAACTGGAGCCCAACTGTTCGGCTTCCCCTTGTGTAAGGTGATGCCAGAATGCTGGTCATGAACTCCGTTGTTCGCGCGAAAGTCGTGTCGGCAAACCATGCGAGGATGATGCAGCAATGGAGCAAACAGCGATATTGCGAGCCACTCTCTAGAATCCTGTGATTGATTTTCGAATGTTACCTGCGAGGACTGAAGGCATGGTGATGTTGTGATGCCCACCTGGTGTTGCCGGTGCACAAGCCTCGTCACGCTACCACTAGCGCGAAATCCCGCTCGCTTACGAGCTGCACCACACCTGGGCACAGCAAATTCGTTCCCCGACATCAGCTCTTCGACAATACCACACAGCCAAATCGACATCCACAACCGTCGCCATGGCCAGTACGTTGACGGTAGCTCACGAGTTACATGGCCAGAATACTAACAGAGCTGCGCAGAATCCAAGAACTCGTCCCAGCACAACCAGTCCAAGAAGAACCACCGTAACGGGTACGCATCACCCTCCTCCATCGCACGCGCCATCGTCCCACAGATGAACCATCTACAACGCGAAGGATCATGGATGCCTAGATGAGAACAAAAGCTGATGCAATGGCAATACAGTATCAAGAAGCCCAAGACCCACCGTTACCCCTCGCTCAAGGGAACCGACCCCAAGTTCAGGAGGAACCACAGGCATGCTCTTCACGGCACCATGCGCGCTCTGGTGCGTACCAACACCTCACCATCCCACGGGAACACGGCCCGCTAACCAATACACAGAAGGAGGTCAAGGAGGGCAAGCGCGACTCGGCATAAAGGACGATACGATCACGAGCGAGCGACGATGGCGGTTTTCGATTCCTTTATGAGACATCTGGTCGGCGTCAATGGCATTCGGACTTTCTATGACAGCTTCGAACTCAAGGGATTGGAGCACGCGGCTTCACGCCTACTGCAGGCATGAAATGCGGCAATGAAACAAGTCGAAAAGTCAGGTCGGTTCCACCAGCGCGCGACTGTCCAAGTGATGTGTTAGGCTGTTCGATCGTTCGCAGCGAGTCCAGGTAAGTCAGAGAGACCAACGAGGTGCAAACCTCAACCCAGCCATTAGTGTGTACAGCAACAGAGCTCTTCCATGCTCGACCTGCTGAAGGAAAATCTATCGTGGCAAGAACAAGCACCCCCATCATTACCAAACACACGACCTTCTACCCCGTAAGGTACGTGTGCATGAAGATGGGGTTACATACCAACTGTTGAATCAGTGCTTTGGACTTTCGGTGCATCTTCTAGAGAGTTGTGCAGTCAGTACATCGTGAGATAGCATACATATACATGTATTCCAATCAATGACATTATCCTATCCAGATTGTGCGTATTCTTTTACTCCATGACGCTTCCTAGACATTCTACTTGAAGGACCGACGGGGTTGTTACTGGAACCATGACACCTCACTCTATAGTCTGCGACCGCGACGGTCAAGGCTCTCACCATGCCAACCTTCCTAAGCTGGTATGAAGGCGTCTGTAGTCATCAGACATCGATAAGACGCTCCTTGACACTGTCACACGTCTCTCCGCGGAGGTAAGTCAGCCGAGGCGTTCCCGTTCCTGACGTTGCTGCACAGCCCTGTCGTTGCCCGATTAGCTAGCAGCCCTACACCCCGGATTCATCCGTCATATCTACCCGTCTTCTATCGCAAGACTCTTGTGTTCCCAACGCTTCCTTCTGCGCCATTCACTTCTTCCCGCCTTCTAGTCCTCTCCAACCCAGCCCACGCGTCTCGGCCTCCACCCACTCGCTCCGGTCGAACGTCACCGCCCCCACCATCCCATCATGGCTACCCAAGCGCACTGCGCGTTTTGCTTCGAAACCCTCGTCGCAAGCCTCGAGAAGCGCCCTGCCCTCACGCTCGCCCAAGTCGAACATCTCTGGGCCAAATACAACACCGAGCCTACCACAACCTCCGAGCTCGAAGACGAGACCGAAGCGGAAGAAGCAGACCAGGCCGCCGCACAGGTAGATGGCTCCCACAAAACACCCGCTATATCGCGTATCCTCGCCTCCCCGCCCTCGTCCGTAACTTCGTCAAGCCGGCAAAGCGCGAATTCGACGCCCAGTGGTTTAAGCAGCGAGACACCAAGTAGCATCACAAGCCAGAGCAGCAGCACTACAAACCTGGTCGATAAGGAGGAAGAAGCAGAAGAGCATCCTTTGTTCGTAACATGGAACACGGTTTCGGGCTCCGGCGAGAAGCGACTTCGAGGCTGCATCGGAACCTTTTCAGCCCAGCCCCTCACCACGGGACTCTCGTCCTACGCGCTCACAGCCGCCTTCGACGACACGCGCTTCTCGCCCATCAGCACACGCGAACTACCTACGCTCTCCTGCGCCGTTACGCTCCTCACAGACTTTGAGCCCGTGGACGATGTTATGGATTGGGAGATTGGCACACATGGCTTGCGGATTAGCTTTCAGGAAAAGGGCAGGCGATATGGGAGTACGTATCTGCCTGATGTCGCGAGCGAACAGGGGTGGACGAAGGAAGAGGCGCTGGTTAGTTTGATGCGGAAGGCGGGGTGGAGTGGCAAGAAGTCGGATTGGAATAAGGTTGCGTTGAAGGTCACGAGGTATCAGGGTAAGAAGGTAGCGTTGAGCTGGGGCGAGTGGAGGAGTTGGAGGGATTGGGTTGATGAGGAGATTGCGGATGTCTAGGTGTGGAAGGTGAACTGCTTTGGTTCTTCGTGATTAAATTACAGGAAGCTACGGATGGAAGGATGCATCATGATTAACGATGATGATGGATAGCAGTGGTGCTATAGCAGGGATATACGTCGACGGACGCGATAGACAACAAAGTTCGATACCCCTTGATAATGAATAACGACTTCTTTTACTCCAGTCGGACTCTCCAATAGCTACAGCAAGTGCTGGTTGACACACTACCGTCGTGTCGCGTGCCCAAGTATATACAGAGGAACTCGTATACACAATCGTCAGTCATCCGTTTTGGTAGCAACCACGCTTTCCTTATCCAAGGATGTATGTGTCATGGTATCATCCATTCGTTCAGTCCAAAGGCCCCTGTATGCAAATACCGGACCCTAGCCCATATCATCTTACAACAATTCGTCTTCGTTCCACAATCATACGTTTACATAACGTACAACAGGTCCGTATCTACTCCAGTTAGCTTGTCGTTCGTGCTGACAGCAAGGTAGAGAAAAGGCTTACTCAACGGATGACTGCAGCTCAGCTGAGGCTTCTGTTGATATTTGCCCTCCAGCTCATCACGAATACTGTTGAGCAGTTGTACATAGCTCTGATTCGGGTTCTTGCGCAGCGAAGAGATGAAAGCCCACGACATGGCTCCGGTAGCTTCACCACCGATACTTGCGTCGGCCCTGTTGTTCCCCCATATCAGTATTGTCCATGTCAAGTCCAGAATCAGTCGGCAAAAAACTTACGAGGTCTGTGTGTCCTTGGATCCACTCCACATGATCACATCCGCAGGGCTGGTCTTTGTTCGCAAGTTCTTCTTGTACACTTCGTCGCCATTGATCGCCTTCTTAAACAGACTTGTGGCACCACCAATCATGCTGCCGATATCGCCGCGTGCGTAACTCGACACGATACCCAGTAGACCCTGGCCAGCCTCCTTCGCCAGGTTGGGTTCCTTGAGCACACCCTGGGTGGAATAGATATAAGGCAGATCGAGGGCGGAGCCGGAGTGGCAGGAATCGAAAATGGCGGTTAATCGCACACCGGGCTGGAGGGGTGCGACCATGATACGGTGCATCTCGTCATCGACAATGTGGCCGGCGGTGCGGAAGTCAACTGGGTAAACTACTTCGTCGTAGCCATCGTCTTCGTCTCCGTCGAGGTCTTTGGTCTGGCCACCGTGCCCTGGTTCAAGTTAGTTGGCTGACAGTATGCTTGTGTATGAGGGAAGACGCACCCGAGTAGTGGAAGAACAACGAGTCGTTTGGTCTTGCGTCCTTGACCAGCCAGTGCATCGCCCGTAGAATATTCGCCTTGGTCGGCTGGCTCATGGGGTTCTGCTGGTCGTCGGTCAAGGTGACCATGTCCTCCCTCTTATAGCCAAAGAACTCGTTCAAATAGGTGCTCATGTTCTTCACATCGTTGATGCAACCACGAA